GAGGCTGAATTTAAGAACCCTGCATGTGCCCCATAATTAGTCTCACTAAAGGCACTAATGTAACTCTTGTTGCTCAGTCCTTTGGATGCACCCCACCCGCGTCTTGCGTGACCCCTGATTAGCACGCAGCCCTGCTGACCTCACCTCCCTTTGCAATGGTCTCTGCCCTAGGATGTCAAGGGACCATCCGTCCAGGTTTTCCTCCTCCTTCCCTGCTCTCTCCTGTTCTTTTCCCTCTTCCCATCTTTCAAATACTGGTGCCCCCTGGGACTCCGTCTCAGATTCTCTCCCTTCCTGCTCTCCCACTCTCCCTCAGTGGCGTTTCGCTGTTGGGTTTATATCCCCCTCTCACCTGACTGCTGTCACTGGAGGGAAGGGAGACAGGCAAGCAGATTCAATCTGTCAAATCATGAAAACGTATCTAAATTCATTTAAATAACATTTCCCATCTATACGATGCCAAGTACGCTAGCTCAGCTGAACGTTTTCTACTGAAGTTTTGCATCACATGGGTCAGCTTTGAGCACGGTGATCTGAAGAGCAGGTGGGCGGGGCTTGTCTGTTGGGTTCCATCTTCCTCTTCTTTCATGGGACTCCATTTCCACACCCAAGACGGTTCTTGCGGTACGCGGGCCTCTCACTGTTGTGGCCTCTCCCGTTGCGGAGCACAGGCTCCGGACGCGCAGGCTCAGCAGCCATGGCTCACGGGCCCAGCCGCTCCGCGGCATGTGGGATCTTCCCAGACCGGGGCACGAACCCGTTTCCCCCGCATCGTCAGGCGGACTCTCAACCACTGCGCCACCAGGGAAGCCCTCAAGATGTTTTCAGTTGACACAAATGATCTTTCTTCATTTTAATTTGCCTTCTAGTGGGATATATTAGTTTGCTTGGGCTGCCGTACCACAAACCGTGTGGCTTTACAACCAAAATTAATTTTGTCACAGTTCTGGAGTCTCTGAGATCAAAGCGTAGACAGGGTTGGTTTCTTCTAAGTCCTCTTTGCTTGGCTTGCAGGGGGCCTTCTTCTCCCTGTGTCTTCATGTGGTCTTTCCTCTGGTCTCTCTGTCTTAATTCTCTTTTTATAAGGACCCCAGCTATATTGGATTAACGCCCACCTGAATGACCTCCTTTTAACTTAATTACCTCTTTAAAGAGCCCCATCTCCAAATACAGTCACATTCTGAGGTACCGGCGGTTAGGGTTTCAACATATGCATTTTGGGAGGACAGAGGAGGTATTCCAGAGAGTGAGACTGCCTAGAATCACTCATGGCTACACAGCAGCGGGGACGAAGTTAGAGGCAGCTACTACACATGAATCAGTGCAAGACCTGAGCCGAGGGACATCCAGACAAGTATGCCATGGACCTTGCCCCAAGATGCTGCCAACCCAGTTGTGGGGACAGGGTGCCAATACAGAAAAGGAGAGTCAGCCATCTAGACTGGAGTATGCCGAGTCCAACAGAGTGTGTGTGACGGGCAGGAGAAAGAGAAGATAAAAAATCAGTTAGATTGGTCACAGGGAGGTCTTCATGACAATAAAAACCACCTTTCATGGAACTCTACTATCTGCCAGCCCTCTGTACAAACTCTCTCTCTAATCTAATCCCACCCCAGGGGCTGTAGGGAGGACTGTACGAAATAAGTTACACCAAGTTCTTGGTGCTGTGCTTGACACAAGGGAGCATGCTATAAATGATAGCTATTATTCATCGAACAAATATTTTTGCAGTACCTACCATGTGTCAGGCAGTGTGCTCATTGCTGGAGATATAACATCAACCAAGATGGTCTCTGCCCCCACTGAGCTTAACAGTTTAGAGATGCATTCTCCAATATGGTAGCCACTAGCCATATGTTGGCTATTAAAATCAATTAAAATGAAAAATTCAGTTCCTCAGTCATACCAGCCACATTTAATGCACTCCAGAGCCACAAGTGGTTACATTCCCAGCAGTGCATAAAATTCTATTAGATAGTGCTGGAAAGGGGACGAGAGATTATACCTGTATGGTAAAGGTCATGATAGAGACTTATAGGTACAAGGGAAGAATATTATTATTATTACTATTCTCATTATAATCAAGATGCAGAAACTGAAGATCAGAGAGGTTAAATAATTTGATCAAGTTCACACAGCTACTAAGTGGAAGAGCTGGGATCGGAATCAGGTCTGTCTTAATCTCATGCTGCCTCAGGCCATTTTGTGGAGGAAATGAGTCAGGCACAGGTGGAATCTGGTTAAAGAGAGAAGATGGAGGAGGCATCCTCGGTGGGAAAGCAGCAGCTTGGACAAAGGCACAAAGGCACAGCTGGGCAAGGTTGGGAGCGGACCACGAGTAAACCAGTCTGGCTGGAGAGGCAGGGACCTGCTGAACTCATGTGCTTAGAAAGGTAAGTCGGAGCCTGCCTGCCTTGATTCAGAGCCAAGGAGCTAGGAAACTCAGCCCTATGTGCACAGGTTGACTCCTTGAAGGTTGTTAGCAGGAGCCTGGCATAGTCAAAACTGTATGTTTTGAAGGTAGAAGTGCTCAGGGTGAACTGGGCTGAGGACCAGTAAAGGATGGCAGGGGGATAGAAAAAAGGGAATGAATGAATGGTACGAAGCAAAGAACACCAGAGTGGGAGCCAAGAGCTTAACCCTAAGATTGACTGATTGATTGATTTTTGTTTTCTCCCTTTTAAAAAAAAATTTTTATTGGAGTATAGTTGCTTTACGATGTTGTGTTAGTTTCTACTGTACGGCAAAGTGAATCAGCTATACGTATACATATATCTCCTCGTTTTTCATTTCCTTCCCATTTAGGTCACCGCAGAGCATTGAGTAGAGTTCCTACTGTGCTATACAGTAGGTTCTCATTCGTTTTCTATTTTATACATAGTATCAATAGTGTATATATGTCAATCCCAATCTCCCAATTCATCCCACCCCACCCCTTCCCCCTTGGTATCCATATGTTTGCTCTCTACGTCTGTGTCTCTATTTCTGCTTTGTAAATAAGATTGTCTATACCAATTTTTTCAGATTCCACGTATATGCATTAATATACGATATTTGTTTTTCCTCTTTCTTACTTCACTCTGTATGACAGTCTCTAAGTCCATCCACATCTCTACAAATGACCCAATTTCGTTCCTTTTTATGGCTGAGTAATATTCCATTGTATATACGTACCGCATCTTCTTTATCCATTCCTCTGTCAATGGACATTTAGGTTGCTTCTGTGTCTTGGCTATCGTAAATAGCGCTGCAATGAACACTGGGGTGCATATATCTTTTTGGACTATGGTTTTCTCCAGATATATGCCCAGGAGTGGGATTGCTGGATCATATGGTAGTTCTATTTTTAGTTTTTTAAGGAATCTCCATACTGAACTCTAAGATTTAATACTGTGTTAACACTGGGCAATATACTTCATTTCCCTGGGCCTCATCTTTTCAATTCTAAAAGGGCATGGCTGGTCCACATGATCTCTGAGACCCTCCTTTAGCAATGGTAATCTAGGATTCTGCAAATGTGAGTGACATTAGGCTAAGAGAAGCCGTGTAAAGTGTAGCACTGAATATAGGGCCTAGGAAGACGGCAGAGTCAAAGGTCATCCTGAGACAAAGGGGGAATGATGTGCTACTAACAAAACTAGGTAAGTGTGTGAAAGGGCTTGTCTTTGGGGTTTTTTTTTGGGGGGGGGTGACAGGGTATGGAGGTTGGAAAGGATAAGAGGTAGTGGGAAGATAATGGGCTTGTTCATTATTTTATATTCCCCAAATACAGATTTCAAACTTTTGACCTATGACCCACAGCAGGAAATACAACTTGTATCCTGGTCCAGCACAGTTGTTCAGTATATATAACTGAAACAAAAGGTTTATGAAATAAACAGGTACTCTTACTAAGGGCAATGGGTCTAATCTTTTCTATTCTAGTACACTTCATTTTTAAAAAAAGCTGCTTGCCATCCACTGACTATCTTTTATGATCAATCTATGTGTCACTGACTAAGAGGAGGCTCCAGTCTTCTTAAGTTGGGGGCGATGGCAGGGCATCCCATCACAGAATCCAAGAAGAAGCTGCAGCAGTGAACTGGCGAGGCTTCGGGCTGGGGAGAGTCTGGAGCGTGTTTAGTTGAAGCCCCGTTCGGAGAGAGCGTTGAGGCAGGTGGAGGGAACCACCCGTCCAGGTTATGGGGGTTGCGGGGGTGCCCTCAGGACACCGTAGGCGTGAGGACCGGGCGGAAACCTGATTCCCGCAGGAATCCAGCGACCACCCGGGGGCTGCATTTCTTAAGCGTGCTCGGAATGGCTTCTGCATCTCTGACCTCATTTGGATTTCAAAACCTCCTCCGCTTACTCATCCTCCCCCCAAGGACGGCGTGCGCCCACTCCTCCATTCATTCATCGCACACCGATCTCAGGGAGCGCCAACCAGGTGCGAGAAGGGCGAGCCGCTGCCGGCCGGGGCTCCCCTTCTGGTCTGTTCCCCCTCCCGCCCAGCTCGCGCGCACACACAAAGTTCTGGCTGCTACCCCTGCGGACCGGCTCCCCTTTGCCAATCAGAGCTGAAGCGTGTGCACACCGGACCGCGCCGAGCCTCCCTGGCCTCGCCGAGCCTCCCTGGCCTCGCCCGCTCCTGCCCTAGGCTCGGCCTTCCCCGCCTCGCATCCGTGCCATCGGCGCTCGATTGCGCGCGGAATCCGCTCTCCGGGCTCGCTCGCTCGCTCGCTCGCGCTCGGCCGCCGCTCCCGCCCCCGTCCCCCGCCCCTCCCCCGGCTCCTCCCGCCCCTCCTCCGCCTCCCGTGCAACTTTTGCCGAACCCCCCACACACAGCCATGCTGAGCTGAGCCCCGGCCGGGGACTGGCCGCGCGCTGCCCGCCCCGGCTCCCGCCCCACCGCGGACCCGCTCGGGGGCCGCGGCCGCTCGGCCCTCGGCCTCGGCCGCTGCGCCCGTCGCCCGGCTGCCCCGGAGCCCCGCGCAGGGCCCGGGCCGCGGCGGCGGCGGCGGCGGCGGCGGCGGCGGCGGCGGCGCCCGGCCCCCTCCCCCGGCGCCGGCCAAGTGAGGCGGTGATGCGGGCGCTGGCGGCCCCGGCTGCGCGGAGAGCGGAGACACAGGCTCAAGATGGCAGATTCCGACTGAGGCTGGGGGGGCCGAGCTCGCGCGCCGCGTTCCCTTCTCCGTTGCCATGAATCGCGGACACCCCGGCCCCGATGGCCCCCGTGTACGAAGGTAAGCGGCGCCGGCCCGCCGACCCCGCTCGCCCCGCGCCGCCTAGCCGCCGCGGCCCCCGCAGCTTTGTTCTGCCCGCCGCCCCTCGCCGGGCAGCCCCCGGGCCCGCAGCGCCCGGGCGCCCGGCCTCCGCGCCCCACCCCCGGGGCTCGAACCGGCTGCCCGCCCCCTCCACGCCGCCCCCACCCTCGCCCAGCGAACGGCCGGGATCCGGAATCGAACAGATCTTATTTCCAGGGTGGAGAAAGAGGCGGTGGGGGGGCGGCGGGTGTTGTTGGGTGCGAGGGTGGGCTCCTGGCCGAAGAAAAGAAATTAGGAGGGGGCGCTGGGGAAAAGACAGACCCATGACGGTGCTCTTTATTTATTTGGAATAAATAAAGGGGATACGGTGTAGCTTTCCTCCTCCCCCCTCCCCCAAAGAAAATTACCTTCAAGAGGATGTGCTTTCCACTTTCTGTCCTCGCAGCTCCCTTCCCATTTCCCTCCACTCCCACCCCACGCTCCTTTATTCTTCGCGAGCCTCTGATTTTGGGGGGCTGTCGGGTCGGAATGTACGGGGCTAGGTGATGAGAGGGAGTCGAGAGGAAAAGTCCATTTCAGACCCAGGCAGAACAATGCAGTAGGCTAAAATCTCCCCGCATTAGCGTGTGTAAGGGGAAAATGTAGTTTAGGTTTTCAAGTCGGGGAGGCAGCCAAGACGTCTGTTCGTCTCGATCGGTCTGGGTAAACCTGCGTCGTGCACCTTCACCTGGCGTCGGGTCCTTTTTCTGATCTGTCTTTAGGAAGAAAGAAAGGAACGGAAGGGCACGAGCGCTACGTTTTCCCCTGCACTCCCTCTCTCTTTCGTTTCTCTTCAGTCAGTTCTGTCAGCTTCCAGGCAGAAATCAAACTGAAATCAACTAAGTTTTTACACTTCGGTGTGTTTTTTGTGTGCTTGTAGTAGGAGGAATTTTGAACCAAAGGGTGCCTGATTTTTTTCAGTCATTTTCATCGTGAAAATGTTTTCTCGTGCAATCACTGAAGTAGCAGCCTTTACATACTTTTAGCGTCAGTCCATCCGGCTTTCTTTCGGTTTTGTTCAGATATTCTGTGGATGAAATAGCAAATGAGAGGGGCAGGGGTTTGCGGGGGAACAGAGAGGAGGGGCGAGGAGATTTTAATCCTCTGTAAATCCGGAGAGCTGTCCTGGCGAGTGAGACAGGGAACGCATTAATAGTTTTATCTCTGTTATAAAGGCAGATTAAAAAAAAAACTTATCTGAAAAGAAAATCTGTTACTAGTTCCAGGGCTCCAAATGAATTAGGTTTCTGGGTGGAATAAAGTTACCAGTCAGGTCCTGGATAACGAGGCTGTAAATAACCTATGGACTGTAAATATTTTTTTTTCAGACTCTCTTAGAAACAAAGGGGCCTGTTTAGAAGGCAACAGAGAGATGTTATTCCAGGGGCTTTCCTCTTTGATTCTGAAGAACACAAGGTCCATTTAACCATTCAACAAAACAAAACGAAATTTCTGATCACTCCACCACGCAGAAAAGAGCGAGCCGGTGGCTCTGTGAACCCGCTAGGAGGACCCAGTCGGGCGTTCATTGTTTGTCTGTGTCTCTGGGAGGGGGCTACAGTCAATGCTTCCACTGTCTGTGGAGTGTTAAAATGAAACAATTTTCTCTTTATTAAGTACCTCTTTTGAGACTCCCTCTGCTGGACACTCCGGGTGAGCACTGGAGAAGGAACTTGGCATTGAATTGAGAACTATAGTAAAGGCTTTCCCTTTTCACAAGGGGCTGGATATGTGGGTTGGGATGTATTTAGTCAACTTTGTGGAAAGCCATCCTGGGAACTGTGCTGTTCTCCTCCCTTGCATTCTAAATCCATATGGAATGTAGGCCATACCCCTGAGGCCAAGACTTGGCACTCCTGTTTTTCCAACAGTGCTCTTCTAGTGCATGACACCAGATAAAGACCTCTGGGTGTGTAAGATGTTGTGGTGTAAGAATCATCACCGATCTCAAAGGTCTCAGGAGCTCACTTTTTAAATTTGCAAGCCTGCCGTCTGTGTCCCAGGTGACCTGCCTGGTCCCCCCTGTCCACCCTGGGTTTCCCTCAGTCTTGTCTGTGTGCTCTCTTAATTATTCCTGTGCTTTGTGCCCTTTGATTCTGAGACAGTTTCTGCATACCTTTGTCATTCTTCTAGGCTTCTCACCCCTCCTCAAGCAGTCCCAGCTTCACTCTGCACAAGCTTAGGTCTGGGTCTTTTTTGAAAGAGACTGGGTCATGCTCTAAAACAGACAGGTGACCTCTATAATCAGGCATTGTATTGCGGAACCCACATTCCCGTCCTGCTATGAGTGCCTCCAAGACTCCAGTGACCTCCTTTTTCCCTCCTTGGTGACGTCTGCTTGATTTAGCAAACCTGATTTTTACCGTATCCCCATCAGAGCACATGGACTCCTTGTGTGTATCCTGAAGGAGCAGGGCTTTTCCTGTGGAATTCTCCAAGAAGAGTGATTTCTAATAGTTTTTAAGCTACTGAAAGATTGAACATGGGGATGTCAGGAGAAGGATAACGACAGGTGAGGCATTTCAGCTGGAATTCAGGGGTGTACTCATTTGTTTAAATGGGGTGCAGTTGCCCCAAGCTGGGATTTGGTGTGAAGACCTGAGTGCATTAGTGGAGCATTCTGAGCTGCCAGGTTTTTAGAGAGAAATGCTCTGTTGGAAACAGGGTATGTTTGATAATACAAATTAACGGGTAGGAAAGTATAATCCGTCTTCTGTGGCTTGCTTTTAAGGATAGGTTTATAAGTAGCACATTAGTTTTCAGTGGCTTGGTACTGATCAAGTTAAACTTCTTTAAAAAGGTTTATTTTCTTTAGAAGGTTAAACATTCGCCTTGCAATTATGTTTACTCCATCAACTTGCTTAGCAAGGCTTTTTCCAATATGTAGTGCAAAGGCCAACCACAAAGGTCTATAGTGCCATAGGTTCTGAATTAGAGGACCCTAAATCCCACGTTAATTGTGTTCCACTGTCCCTGGGCTGTGCCATGTCCACTAGTGTTGGCTTATACAGTCAGAGTTCCCAAAACTGTAGCCCTGAAGTCTATCATCAGATGGGCCTGAAGACACCTACCAAGAAGTGGATTCTGAATCATCTTCCATTAAAAGAATTTGATGACACATGTTCAAAAATTTTTTTTCCTGTGTTTATGTTTTATATTTTTAAAATGAGGAAGTATAGATATTGTTTTCATTCTTACCACATTTGAGGAGTGAATCAAGGCTCATTCATTTTATCCCTGATCCTGGACAGTGCGGTACGATACTTGAATCAGAGAAACCTGGGGTTTGAATCTAGCTATGTGGCTTTGAGGCGTGTTACTTAACTTCTCTGAGCTTTGTTTTTTAAAGCCTTGTTCGATTGTGCCAGGGCTCTATTAGAAGCGAGTACAGGTAAAGCTCTTGGCTGTAGTAGGCATTTTCTCAGTGCGTGTTAAATCCCTCTAGCTTTTGAGCTGCTTTCAGGCATGATGACTCCAGGGAAAGAATAGCCCACAAATAGTTTAGAAAACCAATAGTAGCAACATTCCAATTATTGATCTCTTGCTATTCCTTTTCCAGTTTGGGCACCAGCAACAATAAACCCCCTATGGCCACAGAAGAAAGAGCCTTTTTCGACCCCCTCTGTGAGTTTTCTAGATTCTTTATTCCCGCTGAGCTTCTGCTGGTTTCAGGTGGAGGATTTCTCTTCTCTAGTGGCACATTCTATGCCACTTTAAAAATGAGGCAACAAGCCGTTAGAACAGAGTTTCAGGGGCTGCAGCTGTGCCTCTGGGAAAGTATCCCAAAGTATGAAAGATAATCTTTGCCCTTAATCAGGATCCATTCGTAACCCAGGCAGCAGGCCAGGAGAGGGAGCGCCCAGAGGTGGCTTCCCTACCAAGGGCTCCTCAGAGGGGAGGCACCCGCCCCACCATGAGCCAGGCTCTGGATCAGTGCACCAAACATAATTTTCCTACAGAAGAAAATTTGGTGCTTTATGCAAGTTGCAGATGCTCATATTCTTCGTATTTTATTTTATTTTTATTTATTTATTATTATTTTATTTTATTTATTTATTGGCTGCGTTGGGTCTTCGTTGCTGCGCACGGGCTTTCTCTAGTTGTGGTGAGTGGGGGCTACTCTTCGTTGCTGCGCGCGGGCTTCTCATTGTGGAGGCTTCTTTTGTTGCGGAGCGCGGGCTCTAGGTGCGCCGGCTTCAGTAGCTGTGGCACGCAGGCTCTAGAACTCAGGCTCAGTAGTTGTGGCGCACAGGTTCAGTAGTTGTGGCCCGCGGGTTCAGTAGTTGTGGCTCGTAGGCTCTAGAGCACAGGCTCAGTAGTTGTGGCGCACAGGCTTAGTTGCTCCGTGGCATGTGGGATCGTCCCGGACCAGGGCTCGAACCCGTGTCCCCTGCATTGGCAGGCAGATTCTTAACCACTGTGCCACCAGGGAAGTCCCTGTGTTTTACTTTTTATGTTTCTTTATTTCTCTCTTCCTTCCTCCCGTAGAGACCAATCTTAAAGGAACCGCCTTTGAGGTGTATATGGAACAAAGTAGTGACGATCAGGAGGGTATGATACATGAACATTTTTTATTGTTCTCTGAACATGTCATTTGCCAATGCTTTCTGGTGGTCTTACGATGACAGTTCAAGCTCTTCGGGTTGCTATCAAAGGCGAGGTTCAGAATAATGCCAGCAGGTGTCATATAACCTCTGATGGAGTGTGAACTTGAAAGGCCCAAACTCGTAATAGTTCCATTTTGTATGGCAATACCCTGTTGGGGGTGGGGGAGGGATTGGAGGTAGAGAAAGAAAATGGAAAACCTGGAATATAGAAAGGTCTTTTTTTTCCTCTAAAAGAAACCAAGGTGCCTGAAGTTAATGGCAGTAATTGCGACTTAGACCCCACTTAGTTTGTGGCATACGCTCTACCGACATTGACTCGCGTCTCCTCCTAAC